GGCCGGGGGAGGTGTGCGGCGCGCGCGCCCAGCGGTGAGGCCAGCCGGGGGGGGGCGGCGCCGGGGCCGCGGCCGCGTCCGGGCCGCCACGGCTTTCGCTTTCGCCTTCCCCTCAGCCGGCCCTTTCTAGTTCCCTGCCGCCTTTCCCCGAAGTCACGTGGTGCGGCTGTTCCCGCCTCGGCGCTCCCCCTCCCGCCGCCGCCGCGCCTGCGCAGTACGCCCCGCCGGGGTCGGCGGGGTGCAGCCGGGAGCCGGCCCCCGCACGCCCCGTCGGGCTGGTCCCTGGGAGGGGTCGTCGGCGCGGCTCCCAGAGCCTTACCCGAGAGGTGAGGGGGGGGGCGGCACGGCGGTGCAGTAACAGCTCCTCAGGGGCTAAGGCCGCGGGGTGCGCGCGGAGTGTAAGGGAACCTGTGGCGTCCTCAGAGTAGCCCCCCCGCGGGCTAGCTTGCCGTCCTGGGCTGCCGTCTGGAGATGGCCCGCTGAGCTTTGCACGTCAGTGCCTTTCCTCCTGGGGCAGCGGGACTCATCTCCTCGCGGTCTCCACTCCTGACAAGGTCGCCCCCCTTCCCGTGGGGACACCGGGACCGCACCACCTCCCTCCGGGGCAGCAGCCCGGGCTTCCCTCGCACCCGGTACATCTGCTCACAAACCCTACTTCTTAAACGTCTGCTGGCTCCTTCTCAACGGCTGCACCTTCTCTCACACCTTTCCAGACTCCTAACACCGCCCTGCTCCGAACGCTGCTCGGGAGCGCCACAAGCCGACAGAAGCGGAGGCCGGTCCCCGGGGACGGCGCTCACCCGGTTTCTGCCTCGCCTGCCACTGCCAGCGTCGCCGCGCCGCCGGACGGCCTTTCCCTGACAGGTGCAACCTCCCTCTACGTTATACGTGCGGTGCTTCTGCCGGCAAACCCTGCGCAACTATCAGGGACAGCCGGCCGGCGGGCCCCGGCGCAGCTCGCCGGTGTGGCCGGCGGGCCCGGAGGCCGGGGAGGGGGGGAGCGCCGCGCCGGGAACACCCCGCCTCCCCCACGGGGAAGGGAAAGGGCCGTGGGCGGGGCAGCCCGGCGCCGCCGCGCTCCCATTGGCCGAGGCCGCGGGGGCCGGGCTCTGATTGGCCCTGCCACCAGCCGCCGGTCCGCGGCTCTGCGGGTATTTGTCGGCGCGAGCGAGGGTCGCGGCGCGGAGTGGAAGCGCAGCCTCTTCCCACGAGTAAGTGCGGGTGCCGCGCGCGCGGGTGGGGGGCTGGCTAACGGTCGCCAACGGCTGCGGGGAGAGCGGGCCGGGGCTGGCAGGTCTACCCGCCCTCCCGGGGAGGGACACGCCACACGGGCCGGCCGAGCCGCGGTGGCGGGGGGAAGGCGTGCTAGGTCGCAGGCGGCAGGGACGGCTGTCCCTCGCCCTTTGCTCCCGAACTGCCGCGCGCGGTTGGGCGGCGATCGCTCGGGAAGTCGGGAATGACACGAAGAACGGAATTGCTAGGAGGCGGCGGGGTTTGAACGTAGTTAGAGCGCAGCCAGGAAGGTGCCCGAGCTAAGCGGCGGAAGGCAACCCCGAGCACGGGTGTTACCGAAGCGCGCAGACCCGCACAGCTGCAGATAAGGCCCCTTTTCTCCAGAGGTGCACACGGACTGCGATCCTATTGCCCATACCCAAGGGAAGGCAGAACAGCAAAACGGCCTTTCTGGCCTACACCACCTCGCTTGTCAGTTTGTCAATGGCCAGCTGAGCCCTGTGTCCCACTACTGGTCTCTCTAATGCCTTCTCTACAAAAAGGTGCCGACTTACCACTTTTTCAGTGTTTCTCATCTTGCGTCCCCAAGGGGTGCATTTGCTGCAATATCGTATTGCACTGTAACCGGCTCTTCGGCTGGTTCTCCGCCACCACGCCCAGGTCCTCTCCCAGTCTAGTCGCTTTAAGACACAGAGAGATTGGAGTACATCTTCATTTAAGCACTAGGGAAAACGACGGACTCACTTCATGCATTGAGACAAATTCTTCCAGCTTTCCTCACCAATGTCATCTCTAACTGTTTGCCTTGATGCCACTACAGCATACTCAAGTGCTGTGTTACCTGTAGTCCAAATCCCATGCACATCAAAATCCTCAAAGCCCTCACTTCAAACATAATAGCAGTTTTAACTCTCATTTGCTTCTCATGCATAGCGTATGCCACTCAGCAGCTGAGGGAACTGACATACAAACACTAATGAATTTGGCAGGAAACCATGTATAAGATAGTCCTCCACCCCAGTGCTGCCCTGTTCCTTGCGTAGGAACTGTCACCCTTTTTTAAAAGTTGCAGATGCAATTGGACTTGTGTCTCACCACCCCTGTTCTCAGCCTGGACTGTTCCTTGGACATATCTTTACATGCCACTTCCACTACAGGACGCTAACCTGCAGCCCAGTGAGGAGATAGTAACTGGTCTGCAGCCAGAGGCCATACATCAGAACACACAACCACTCTGTTATAGAACTGTTATTGTACAGCATGACTTCTCTCAGTCATATTAGTTCATTTTAAGTAACCTGTGTCTGAAAATTTGATCATGAGAACTAAAGCATATAGTAGAAAAAAACAGTTCTCCAATACTTCTCCATTTAAACTGACTTGAGATCTAGTCCATTTTCAGAGCATAAAGTGACGACGCACATAACACCTGAAAACGGGCCCCTAAAGGTTTCTTTGATTTTCCACTCACACTTTTTCCACCTTGTGGCAATGGGGAATACATCTGCACCAACAAAAGGTGAAACTCCACATAACAGGGTCTTGATCCTGCAGAGTACAGGTATCAAACACATAGGTCCTCATTCCCATATCCCTACTAAGCAATAGAGCAGTAACACTACCTGTACCCTAAATGCTGTGAAAAGGGCTTCAAAGGAAAAAAAAAACAACAAACACATTTCATAGGGAAGGGTGATACAGCTTTGAGTTATTTTTCATGCAATAGCACACTCTCTTAATTTGCAATTATTTTTTTTTTATTAAAACAAGCACAGAAGAAGTTGTGTTTAGTTTTAATCATTAGCTTTCTACAATTGTTACAGATGAAAATAAAATGGTTTTGTTTGCTGGAAACACTTTTCCTTCCTACTCCTCCAATTTTGCCGATTTGCAGTTTAGTCCAAATACTACTTAAACATTTACACTGATTTTTGTTTTGCCCTCCTCAGGATGACTCAGTGGTACCAGCTACAGCAACTTGATTCCAAGTTTTTGGAGCAAGTTCACCAGCTATACGATGACAGCTTTCCTATGGAAATCAGGCAGTACCTGGCACAGTGGCTGGAGAATCAGGATTGGTAAGCATAGAAACTGGCCTTCAGGTTGTGTGATAAGCAGTGTTCTCGTACATGCTGTTATGGGCAGCAGAAAAACACTGGGGAAGCAAGCTGCTAGGTGAACCTTTGCTGGTAGGACACTTAAGTAGCTGTGTGGGTGCTATAGCCTGTGTCCCTGCCCCTCTTCAGGGCTTTCTAGAGGGGCCTGACACCTAGAGTAACAAGTGTACTATCTCATATTTCCCTTGGTTGGTCTCTAACAAAAGCAGCTGTTTTAAGATCGATCAGACCTTGGCAGCTCAGTCTCTCGCTGTTTGCAGACTTTGAGCTTTTGCCAAGATTTCTGTGCAGTGTCTTCTTTTAGAAGAGTGGTACAACATGCACATGCATCAGGTTCACTTTTAGCTTCTTGATGTGCACGGAATGAGTAAATGAAGTTGCACAGAACATGGCAAGAATAATACAGAGAAACGCGACATTTCTATATCAAGGAAAGTAAAGTCAAAGTTGAGAGAATGAAACTGGCTTATGTTTGAAGGTAATTATTACTGATTGCATCTGCTACAACTGGAGTTTGGGATTAAAAATAAGGTACTCCTGTATGTATTTCTTGAATGCTCTATTGAAAGTGTTTTTAATACAAGCATGCCTTAATTATTCTAGGGAACATGCAGCCAACAATGTATCTTTTGCTACGGTGTTATTCCATGACCTGCTGTCACAGCTGGATGACCAATTTAGTAGATTCTTGATAGAAAACAACTTTTTACTGCAACACAACATAAGGAAGAGCAAACGTAATCTTCAGGTATGGCTGGGGTATATGCCTATACATTTGCCTGAATTGCTTCAATAGTGCAGTTGGATGCCTCTAAGCAAACTACCCTACCGTGAGAGATTTTCACAGAGAATGTGTGAGAATCCTAATTTAAAAGTCAGAATTCAAATGTGGCTCCATTTTTGTTTTAATTGGCTAGAAAGTTACAGTTTCATTACCAGTACAGATACATTTTCTGAGAACTCTAGAAAAAAAGAAAGTTGTAGTTTGTGAGGTGTTTACTATATGTATTTGGAGCACTTACTCGAACGTAGTTTCACTTACCCCACCACTTCCCCAGCTGGTTTCGTCAGTGTCCTAATAAGCTTCTGATGCAGAAGAAACACGGGGGAAGGACTTCTTCCCATATAACTGCAGAACTACATTTAATAGCAAAGGACTTGTCATTAGACAGCACTTCTGTGCATCATATTCTACTGACAAAGAAAAGGGCCAAAGCAATTGGTAGTGAGTGACAATGCAGAACATACCCTTAGTGGACTTAATTACTTTCGTTAGTCAGACCTTGCTTCCTCCCTGTAGGGCTCTATGCCAGAGGATCCTCCATAGAGTCACCTTCTCCACAGTCTATTTCCCACACACCTAGCTTCTCCTCAGCACAAGTCAGTGACTAGGGGACCGTTTTCTGAAGAGAGGAGAACATGACCAGGCTGTACTTATCTGATAATAACTATAGATCAGCAAGAAAAGGTCAGTCAAAAAGGCTGGTACAGCTCAGCAACCCCCTGGGGCAGCACCATCCTGGGCGGAGAAGGGCAGTACTCAATCCAGAGCATGTTTCAACTTTGTATGCATGTAGAACAGTAAGGTTGAATTTGTATCCAGCCTTAACTATGCATTTATAAATCACAGCTAACATATCTCCTTTAGATCACTGTGGAAGAGCTGTACCTGTCAAACTAGAACAAGCGCCCTTTAAATCCAGCAGCTATACTTCAAAGGTGTGGAAGGGTGGCTCGAGAGAGAGGATGAGCTCTCTCTAGGACTGCAGGGTAGTATCTCACTTCTCCCAGTAATGCCTCTGACCCTTTCCTGTTATTTTGTGCTAAGTCCCATCTCTTTGTACACTAATGAACTTAAACAGAAACTCATTCTTGGAGATGGTTGTAGCTGTCACACTCCCTGTAGTCTTGGAGCGTGCTATGAGCAGTATGTGCCCTGAAGGAAACACACAGTCACCCGCTAATCTTTTTGCCAATCGGTTTACTGAAGGACAAGAAATTATGGGCATGAACTTTAACAATAGACTGTCTCTAATGCCAGGATAACTTCCAAGAAGACCCAATACACATGGCAATGATCATCTACAACTGTCTGAAAGAAGAGAGGAAAATACTGAACAGTGCCCAGTTGTCAAATCAGGTAACAGTCTTGGAATGTTTACTGCAGTTGTATCTACTCTTTCCTATTATTTGGGACAGGGGGAGTGGAAGAAGACTGGAAGAGGAAACAGACTGTCCTCTCTCTGCAGCAATATGTTTCTTAAAGACAGAAGAGTGAACACTGTATATGTACCAGCTGGACAGTGTGGCTTGTTTGTGCTGTATGAAGCATTTGGAGGGGAGATGGCCAGGATGTAATTTTTATGCCTTGAGTGATGTAAAAGCTATGCATTTTTTTAATGCTTCTGTACTATAGCCTGATGTGCTCATCAGATTTTATTACAGTTTAATAATTAGTGCTTGTCTTATTTCTCCAGCAAGATTTTAGCTTTTTTCTTTTGCATTTTACTCCTTAATTTACTCTGTATTAAGCAACTGAGCCTTGGTGCTTCTCTGGACTGTCTTTCTGGGAAAATGATGCATTGTTCTCCTTCCCAGTAATCTCCAAGTATTTCTTTCTATTTTTGTTTTTTAAAAGAAGCCCATTTCTTTCCTCTGAACCATAGGTAAAGCCATATTCTTCTCCTTCCTCATCTATTCTCTGATTTTTCATCTTCTTGCTTTTTCCTTTGCAAGGAGAACTGTTTTGCAATAAAAAAAAATCTGCAGTTGGGAAAGGCATGCAAACTATATAGCTAGATGTAATCTACTTATGTAGTAGTAAAGTGATGACTAACCGAGCATGTTAAGTTCCGATACTTACATACTTCCCTTTAGGGCAAGTTTTTGAATACGTAGTGTTAGAGTGAGAGCAGCACTCGGGCACAGGCTTTCAACAAGGGTCCTAATGCAGCTGTGTCCAGAACAGCTCCTCTAAAAATGTGACTCTGACAAAGCCCTTGCAGCTGCAGCACAGCTGTTCAGTTTCTATTCTGGCAGCATGCAATATATTTGGGTCATCAAAAAGAGAAATAAGTCCTCCTACACTTACTGTTGGCAGTAGGTACAACACCATGCCCTACGTCTGCTTTCTGGTAAGTGTTCTCATTTCTCAAAGCTGAGAAGATAAAATGCAGAGCAGGCACAATTAAAAGCATCATAAAAACCAAAGGAGAATCCTGAATGTTAGAGTATGCTTAGATTGCTGTAATAGTCTGACTTAAATCTATGATGGGGGACCTTTGGCAGTTTACCAAAAGAAATACTTTAGATGGCCTTAGTGTAAGTTGAAGTGTTAATCAGAGCAATAATGCATACCTGACTGTCCCACATTGGAGGAACAGCAAGTTTTTAACACCAATAGTACTGTTAATGTGTGGAACAGAAAATCCTGTCTTTCAGATTACTGCAGTTCTCCCTGAGTGATGTCATGCAATAAACTGAGGTATTGAGAGGTATTGAGATCAGCTTTCAAAGAAACTATACAGAGATATAAAATGTGCTCAAATCCCTTGTAGGAAAGAAACTGCATACCAGGTTACCCCATTTGCCTATACGCAAACCTATCTTGTTCTGGCTCTTAGCCTGTTTCCCCCCATATCTTGTATAGATGAATCTAATACTTGATGTCATCCAGCCTAAAGGGTTGTTGTTTTCTTGAGATTTATTTAGAAGATACATGAAGATAAGCAAACAAAATAATGGATTTGTGCAGAGAGAAAATGGAATATGTTTATAGCTTGTATTGCTATGATGAAAAAATGCAGCATTACCACATAACAGGCATTTTTAATTCTCCTTTGTTTCTTGCAAATTCACCTGACCTCGATTTTAAATTATAAAACCTTAGTATGATTTATCAGAACAAGCCATACTTCATCATGTTGTTTGTCAACAAAAGCCACTAACTTACGTTAATGAAAAAAGTATTTGCTGTCATGCGTCACTCTGGTTTGACTTCTGTTGTTGTTCTACTTGCTTCCCTCAGATGGAAGTGGGGAGCATACAGAACACTGTGATTGGGATGCTGGACAAACAGAAGGAGCTTGATGCAAAAGTTAAGGCTGTAAAAAACAGTGTTATAGTAAGTATAGTATAACTATTTAAAGTAGTGTTTGTTGCTTCACATATGTTGAAAAGCTTTCAGTACATAAACTTCCTAAAATGACAAAAAATAATGGAATGGCTTGGTTTTCAAGTCTATAATGAGTGATTGTCTGAAAATAGAAAGTAGTTATTTATCAGTAGCACCATAATACACATTGGGATTTGACTGGTTTAGCAAGATCAAATTTCTTGTGCCTAAATCTCAGCAACATTTTACCTATCTGAAATACTAGCAACTGAAAAAACCCTCTTAAGAAATCATATACTGACCAATTTGTTGTTAACTAAAAGATAGATTTTCATTTAGTATATAGATGGTTATTGTCTTAACAAATACTGTCATGACAGAAAGCTTTTCTCCAAGCAATATCCAAGAATTTGAAATCTTGTTTAAAATTCTGTGTGCTGTTCCAAGTTTTTCTACTGTAGCCTAGGTTCTTGTAAACTCTTAAACTCTCCTAAACTTATATGGCTAGACAGTAAGGGCTTTTTGGTATTTTATAATTAACAGATTTTAGTTAGCTGAGAAGAGGGAGGGAGAGTGAATAGAAGGTGATTAAGTTTAGGGATATTTCCTGTTAGGGAGTTCCAGGAAAAGGCATTGCTACAAAACTGGACTTCGTCTCTGTAAAGGGCTGGTACCAGGCAGTTCCTAATCAGAAGTAGTCTTGCATTACATGAAAGTATTGAATAATTGTGGCCACCTTCATTTGTGCCTTATAGGATGTGGAGCAAGACATCAAGACATTAGAGGATATGCAAGATGAATATGACTTTAAATGTAAAACCTTGCAGAATAGAGGTGAGTATCAAGGACATACCCTGTTGCGTATGGTTTGTAAGAGTAAACTCTGCTGTCTTATGTCAGGAAACTAAACCTAATGATATGCAGCCAAACTTACTGGTAATGTCCCTCCTTCATTAATTCTGCTTTATGCTAAAACCTGAATTGCTGAAAAATGCATTCTCTGCATCTGTCTGTTCTGACAAGAGCCTCTTTATTAACGCAGCATTCCTTTGTCCTTTATGTCCCTTTGCTACTAGAAATAGCAAACCCTATAGACTTTGACTTGTTCAACCATACACCTAAATAGTTAAGTTTAGGCTTCTCTGCCATCTTGTATTTCACAAATGCCTTCCTGCTTCAAGTTTTGTAGGCTTTTGTGTACTGAGGGAAGCACATGCAGCTCTAAGTCCACACTGGTTTCATTATATAGATCCGTCTCTCTTTTTCACTACTTTGTTCTAGAAAAAGCTTCAGTTTCCAACACAAATTGACAGTTGACTGTCCCTCAGAAGAGGGACACGTTCAGAAGATACTAAGGGGAGCATTGAGCCACAGTCTTGCTCTTTGTACTTAGGGGCAGGTAGCACTTCCGTGAGGCAGATGGGAACCTCTAACTTAAGGTCAGTAGGCAGCAGAGGTAGTAGCTAGGGTGACTATGTAGGATCTGTCAGCCTGGGCTACCCTCAGGAGGCTGTAAACATCCTCCCTTGAAATAACAGTTAACATCTGTTGCCAGGTTGAGTAATATGAACGATTCATGTCTGAAGTCAGCATGAGAACAAATAGCTCAGTGTGTATCTTTACACAATGTAATCACTATTTTAAATCAAGTTCTTGCTCTGAAAAGCAAGCAAATTTACATCTCAATTACTGGGATAGTGGCTTTTCCTTGCATTAGTGCTTTAAGTATAGACTGTGTCCCTTCAGAAGGGGGAAAGGAAGAATAAAAAAAAATATCTAGGAGACAGTAAATATTTCCTCTCTTAAGCTTTAAAAATATACTTCACTTGACATTAGCCAGGGAGGTCACCTCCTCCCCGCAGTGTTTCCGCCACCCATACTTCAGCACTCCTTCAGCCTCACCTTCACAATTGGGACTTATTTTACAGAGCTTGAGTCCAATGGTGTGTCGCAGGAGGAATTCAAGAAAGAACAGATGAATCTCAAGAAGATGTTTTTATCACTTGACCTCAAGAGAAAGGTAGCGCTCAAGTTTTCTTTCAGAAGGCAACAGCACTTCATTTTGAACATATGTTCATTTTCATTGGATTGACATAACAAATTATGCAAAAGAAAACTTTTCTACTACTTTCAGTTGAACTAAGATTTCATTCTTTCCATCCTGACTGAAAGTCTAGGATCTCTGTAAGCAATTTCATTTCTCTTCTAGCAACCTTTATGAAACTGTCAGGTAAAGCTAAAAGAACAATGAAAGGAAAAAGATGTCATATCTTGAGGAAAACACTGATGTAAAAAACTGTGGCTATATTAGAGTTAAATGTGCTCACTCTCATTGCAGTGCTCAAATCTACAGCAAGCACTGGGTGATCCCAGATATACACTTGGGACTTGGATGCAAGACACTAGCTCTTCAGAATTCAGCAATACTGAATATGCTTTGTTTCTCCACTTAATCTAGCAAATACCACAGCTAAAAAGAAGAAAGTGTTTTTAGAAAACATCATGTGTTGACAGAAACTATTACTTCGAGGTTCTTGCAGAGTTTTGCAAGACAGATAGCATGAGCTAAAATAGTACTTATTTTCCTGTATGAAGTATTTTTAATAAACAGGGTAATTTAATATTCTCCATAGGAAGTGGTGAACAAGATAGTACAGCTGCTGAACACCACAGAGCACACACAGAGTGCTCTTATTAATGAGGAGCTGGTGGAGTGGAAACACAGGCAACAGACTGCATGCATTGGTGGCCCACCCAACGCCTGTCTTGACCAGCTACAGAACTGGTAAGTCTCTAGTCAAGGACTGCACTGGACAGGAACTTGAACTGTGTTATGAAGGAACACCAGATCTGTGAAATAGACTGATTATTTACATTACACATTTTCATTCTGTCACAGCGTAACTACATTTCATTGATTTTATTAGCTCACCACATTTGCAATGAGCAGGAAGTGTTCTTTGTGCACTGCCTAGTCCAAAGGCACAGTCACCTGACTGGTGTCTCAGCATTATTACAATACAAAAACATGCTAAAAGTAATAAGATTGTATAATTGTAGGTTCACCATTGTTGCTGAAAGTCTACAGCAAGTTCGTCAGCAGCTCAAAAAGCTTGAGGAACTGGAACAGAAGTTTACCTATGACCCTGATCCCATCACAAAAAATAAACAAGTTCTGCAGGACCGAACATACAGTCTTTTCAAACAACTCATCCAGAGGTAACAGTCAAGAGGGGTCTTTTTGTGTTTGCATGAATAAATGGATGGAGAGCACCTTCCCTTCTGTTCCCTCAATATTTCCTGCATGCTAACTTTGCATTTTCTGAGGTTTTCCTAAGTTTGTCACAAACATTAAACTAAATGATCATTTTTGAGATTTAGCCTATCTAGGGTTTCCACAGGTTTAGGCCCATGGAAAGGGTTTGTGATCAGTCATTATTTAAGTTCGGAGAAGCTACGCTACAGCGTGCATTGATTACAAAATCAAACTGCTAGTTTGTTAGTCCATTTCTTGCTTTAAGCTTCAGCCCTGCAAAGTTCAAGTAAATGGAGGCAAGAAACCATCTGCATGAAGCTATGCCCAAGATAAATACACACTAGATTCTCCAACCCTTTGTCTCTGGACACATCCTCCTTGTCTCCAGCATAGGGAGGCCAGCCCTACCTCTGTATATTCTCTATGATGCAAGTTACTGTAGCTGGTAGTTGCCCCACGTAAGATCAGAGTCCCATTCTGTAGACATACAGTAGACAAAAATTAATGCTGCAGAAGACTTGAATCTAGCAGACAAGAGCTGGGGCTTAGATACAGTAGGTAACATCCTGTTACAGAGGGCTAGAACACAGGTTTCCAGAGTCCCATTCAAATGCTTTGACCACTAATCTCCAATTGCAAGACACAGGTGCTGCTTTTCAATGAAGCAAAGGCAATGAGGAAGAGCTGTAGAAGTTCAGCTGCTGTTTAGTTATCTTGCCTGTGAGTATAGTGGAAGGAAAAGTCTCCATGCTGCCTAGGACTTGGTAACAGTAGAAATACTTCAGGATTTATGTCTATACAGCACAGTGCTACACAAAAAGTGCCCGAGACAGCAACAGTTTGGCGTGTATCAGAACAGGTTAGCCTCAGGATTTTGCTTCGTGGGGTTAGCTAGCCCTCGTCAAATCCCCAGCTAGCTTATCTAGCCCTTGGGCACACATTGTTATGTAGCACTGTCTCACAGCACTGTAACCATAAGAATTTAGCAAGCACTGCAAATGGCAAATGAAGCAACACTCCTCACTTCGATTATGCTAGTTACATCACAGTGTTTACATGCTGTTTGATTTCAGGGAACTTTGAGGTAGCGCTCTCCCTCCTCAAGCCATCAGTGTATTTAGGAAAAGCCAACCCTTATGAAATCACTTTATACTTGGAATGTTTCTAGCCCCATTGATACAAATGAAAGAAACCAGTGCACAGACCTCTGTGTAGACTGAAACTGAATGAATGAAGTCTATAGTACTACTGGTAAATTGCCGTTCTTTTAAAGTTCACTTTTAATGTAATTTCTTATTCCTTAAAGACAACGTTGATAAATAAAAGTGCCTTTGATCTGTTCTTTCCATAGCTCCTTTGTGGTAGAGAGGCAGCCTTGCATGCCAACACATCCTCAGAGGCCATTAGTCCTGAAGACAGGAGTACAGTTTACTGTAAAGCTGAGGTATGTTTTCCCCTTCCCCCTTCTTGTTTTGTGGTAAGCCTTTCATGTCATTGACTTCCTACAGCTGAGAGGATTGCACATCTTACACTGTAGCCCAAGTGCTGAGGTCAGGAGGAGGAAAGTGCCATGTGACAGGGGGATATCGTTTAGCAAAGTTTAACTTGCATTCAGCTTTTACCCTTTACCAGAAATGGGGGGGTATTGAGTGCATAAGAAACACAGCCAAACAGCAGAAGACACATGCAGTCCACTTTGTCATGCAAAAGAACAACTCATTTGCCCATCTAGGTTCCTCTCTAAATGCTATCTTGTATGGAGCAAGCTTGGAACCTGTATGTGGCCCTGAGTGGTGCAGCTTAAATATACCTGTGATAAGCAATGCAATAGAAGAGAACCTGTCTTTTGCAATTTCAGTTATTAAAACAAAATTTCTCTTTCCAGATTGCTGGTGAAATTGCAGGAGTTGAACTACAACTTGAAAGTGAAAGTTTTATTTGATAAGTACGTTGCATTTTTCTCATCCCTGTGTACGTTAATGGTAAGCAGTCCCCATGTTCAGAAATCCAAAAGGCAGTCATAGTGTTGAGTTGGCCAGGAGCAGGCTGGTTCTCCATGGCAGCAGGTATATCCTCCCTTTTTCTTACCCATGCCCTTGCTCTAAATCTCTCTCTGCTGTTAGAGACATGTCGCAAAGTGCAGACAGCCTCAGCTTCTTGCTACCAGCTCCACTCAGGTGCACTGAGGAGAGCTCACTACTGCTAAATCAGTCTATGCACAGAGCAGCACTTGGACAGCACGTGCACTGCAAAACCACTTCTCTGTCGTGGGTGTTTCACTTGGCCTAGCACTGGATGAAAGCGTAGCATCAAACTCCACTGTTTCCAGTCACATAATTCAGCCTTGTCTTTAAAATATCTTACTTTTTGGGTAGCCTCTAGTGAGGAATCCGGCTATCCTAAAGCTGTCTTTGAATTAGGGGTATAAACAGTCTACCTTTAACCTGTGACATGTTCTCAATTACTGAAAAACTTAAAGCAATCTAAACAGTCTACTACCAATCTTTTGTAAGCAAGTTCAGCTTTTTACAAGCACTACAGTTCAGATGAATTTAGCACTTTAAGGGCAGGGGAAGAAATGTAACAGGCCCTCCAAAATAATGACAATGGCTGTGCTTTTAAGAAAGCAGGTGGGTTTTTGTCTTCCTATTCAAGCCTTTAGGGGGCATTCTGTTCACTTGAAACAGCTCTGGGGTCCAGAAACTTGCATGGAATGGGGAAAAGGAAAAGAAATTCTTAGGTGGATGCGTGAGCTGAGGCTTTGAGAAGTGCACCAGATATAATGCAACTCAGTAAAATCGTGAGTGGTAGGAAAACTGATTCAAGTGATGCAGCAATTTATTCAACAAGTTGGATGGTTTGAAAGCAGATTTAGAATGACAGTACTGTGTAGGGTTTTTTCTCAGAGCAAGAGTTAAAACCTATGTAGTAAAAGAAAGGACTTTCTTTGATTATAAAGCCCCCATAGCAAAATTTAAGGCTCAGTAAGAGACAGCCTGTGTAGCACAATATGTATTTTGACTGCTTGAACCAATGGCCTCCTCTTTTACACAAAATATTTCACAGAAGCATTTTGCCAGTTCTCAGTCACCTGTCAGCTACTAAAACAAACATGGACATTTTCTCTGTGGCAGAATCTTGAAAAGATTTGTCTTTTCTTTTTGTTGACAGAGATGTAAGTGAGAAGAACTCCGTCAAAGGGTATGTGACATCACAGTTTGGTATGTTAATATTGGGTTCTTTCAGTGAATTTGAGACTTAATTCTTTTCTCTCTCTCTTTGTGAAGGTTCAGGAAATTTAATATTTTGGGAACAAACACAAAAGTAATGAACATGGAAGAATCTACTAATGGAAGTCTAGCAGCAGAATTCAGGCACTTGGTAGGGTTTTGGGTTTTTTTTTTCTTTTATTGAAACATCCATTTAATTGTGTGGGTAAAGGGTGTGGTAGGAAGGAAACAAATTGCTTTTGTTATTGAAGTCATTGTTCACCCTTGTGTAAGAGGAACTATGATCATCTCTCCTTCTTTGTTCTTCCCTTTTTGAAGTATTTGGCCTGTTTCAATTGAAATGCTATTGCTTTTGTCACTGAAACGGCCAGAAATGCAGATAAGAGTATTTGCTGCCATACAGCTTATGTTGCAATGAGTTCTTTGGAGGAAGGAGAAAAAGAAAACCTAGAAATGCTGTTTTGGGCCTTTCAGAGGAAGGCCCATAGGTAGGAAAGCTTGGGGTAGTTTAAGAACTTTGAGTCTGGAAGATGAAAGTTGTCTAGGAGTGGGCAGCTACAAGAAATTCAGTGCTTTTAGCAGACTACACAACACTTTTGATCTGAAGATTGTGAGATAAATCAGATTGGTTCCATCATTACTAACAGGAAAGGAAAAATGCAAGTCCTGAACCAGTGAACATGGAAGTCTCCCTTCCTCATCCAGAACAGACACTGTCTGGAGTTTATTGTCCAATTCAGAGAGGTACTTTGATAAACGAGTATTTCATCTGATCCTTCCTGATTTCACACTGCTTCTGTTCTTATAAGGCCTCTTTACATAAAGGCATTACATTATAGCAGTGCAATATCTATTTTCACAGATGAATAGTTTATAAAAGAGCAGTAGTTACCTACAGTTTAATCCTTTGGCTTCCACAGCTTAGAACTAAATAGAATCAGACACTAATGCAGCAAGCTTGCATACAGTTGAGCAACTAGGGCATGCAAACATTTCCATCCTCTACCACTTTCATTTGTGGCTGAGGTAAATGAGTGATGGGTTTTGGTTTTTTTTGTTGTTCGTTTGCAGCAACTGAAAGAACAGAAAAATGCAGGAAGCAGAACAAATGAGGTAAGCAGCACTAACCTTGTTTGTAAAGCTTTTACATAATACTAAAAAGGCATTCAGGCTTTTAAGATAATGCTCTGCTCAGCCCCCTGAAGAAATACACAGGATGACAGATCAATAGGAAAGGACTTAAGCGTTTCTAGGAAGTGATCTGTGTAGGAGGTGTCTAGAAGTGAGAACTACTACCACAATGGTGTCCCTTTGGACTCTCCCTCATTGGTATCTAGCTTTAACAGGACTGTCTGGCAAAGACAGATTTTTCTTTGGCTTCTAGGTAGAAGCCAAAAAAAACCCAACAAACCCCTGCCATTCTAACAGGCAGTTTTAGGAAGTTAGCATTATCACTTGACTTTGGCTTGTGTCGTGGTTTAACCCCAGCCAGCAACTAAGCACCATGCAGCCACTCACTCCCGCCCTCCCCCCACCCAGTGAGATGGGGGAGAAAATCAGGAAAAGAAATAAAACTCATGGGTTGAGATAAGAATGGTTTAACAGAACAGAAAAGAAGAAACTAATAATGATAACACTAACAAAATGACAACAGTAATAATAAAAGGATTGGAATAAACAAATTATGCACAATGCAATTGCTCACCACCCAGTTAGTCCCCAAGCGGCAATGCTCCTGCCCCCCACTCCTCCCCGTTCCTATACTACATGTGACGTCAGATGGTATGGAATACCCCTTTGGCCAGTTTGGGTCAGCTGCCCTGGCTGTGTCCCTTCCCAACTTCTTGTGCCCATCCAGCCTTCTTGCTGGCTGGGCATGAGAAGCTGAAAAATCCTTGACTTTAGACTAAACATTACTTAGCAACAACTGAAAACATCAGTGTGTTATCAACATTCTTCTCATACCCAACTCAAACATAGCAGTATACCAGCTACTAGGAAGACAATAAACTCTATCCCAGCTGAAACCAGGACAACTTGTAAAGTGTTTCTGAAGTCTACAGCAAGTAATCTTGGGCAGAAAAGGTTTTTCCCCATGATAAATCCCCTTACCTTCCCCCCAAGCAATTTTCAGTCCCTGAAAGATTTTGTTTGTTTTTTTAAAGGGTCCCCTCATTGTAACTGAAGAGCTTCACTCTCTGAGTTTTGAGACGCAGCTGTGCCAGCCTGGCTTGGTAATAGACCTAGAGGTATGTGTTAGGTGAATCAGATGGACTTAAATTCCTGTATGTCACTCATGCTGACAATCTAAACTATCTTTTTATTTCCTAAGTACTGGGATATCAAGCACTTTCAGTTATTTCAAAATATATGAATGACACTTCACAACATCTCTGTATAGACACATGCAGTGAGAATGCTGTCAAATTTCTGGGTAAATAAGAGTAGATACGCTTTGCAAAGTGTCTGATAACCAGCCCTGTGTTTTAAGCTCTCTAGATACCGCTTTCCATTTATTTCAGAAGCAATATGCTATGAACTCTACCGTTAATATCAGTGCTATAACTGACACTAAATGAAAGTCTTTATCAGACAAAAATCACCTCAGTCTTTCTAGTACTTCATCATGCTGACATTTTCTGCCCTACATACAAACTTTGAGTGAAAAAGTTAAGACCATGCAAGCAGGGAATTACAATGGGAATTGGTTTGTGGGTAATCTAGAGGAGGACTGCAGCAGCAGTACAGGATAGTCTGACATGTTTCCTTTTGGGTCACTTTCAGACCACCTCCCTTCCCATTGTTGTGATCTCAAACGTGAGCCAGCTTCCAAGTGGATGGGCTTCTATCTTATGGTTCAACATGCTGTCTACTGATCCCAAGGTATTTGAAAAAAAAAAAATTGTATCAGAAATACTATGTGTAATTTTTAAGCATTGTCTGTATACAAGTGGCTGCTGCATTTTTTTCCATGCAGATGACTCTTAATGGCCTTCAAGTGTAGAGAGAGGCACAGTGACTTACTTCCCTATCCTAAACAGAGCAATGTTTGAAACCCATATAAGGATCGTATATGTTGTATTCAGTATATGCAGTACACAGCAAGAGGCCAAATAAACATTCAAGAATTCAAATACAGTGCACTTGAGTAATCTAGGAATTCTACCCACTGGGAGAAGACATGTCCAAAGCAGAGTCCCAGAGATTACTTTTCCTGGTTAAAAGCGCCTGTCAGAATAGCAGCCTGCTTTTGCAGAGTTGTGTCAAGCTAACATCCATTCTTAAATCTGCATTTTGTTTTGGCAATACACTTTCGTAAATTCAAATGGCATTCCGAAATTAATGTTTATTAACCATAGATTGTATTTTTCCCTTCCATTCCAGAACTTGTCCTTCTTTCTGAATCCACCTTATGCAAAGTGGTCTAAACTTTCTGAAGTTCTGAGTTGGCAGTTTTCTTCTGTAACAAAGAGAGGACTTAATGCAGATCAGCTGAACATGTTGGGAGAGAAGCTACTTGGTATGGTCTGCTTCCATCACAGATAGCCTGTTTGAATTTAAGCTAATTCTACATCTTTTCTGCATTCTATTTTAAGTTTTCATTTCCTCTCACACCTTTTCCCCTCATACAATATCGCTTTATAGCAATGGAAGTGTTCTTCAGTTTTCAGTATGGTAGAGTTTGTAAATGAAGGTCAGGTCATGAAAAAAATCTGCAGTTCTAACTTAAGAGTTCTATGCATTAGCGCAGTGCAGATTGGGGCTAGTTCTGCCTTTTAAAAAGAGCTACAGAAGTAATGCACATGCTTAGTCAATCTTTGAGATGGCTGTTTCTAGGCATTTTTTTGGTTTTGTTTTTAACTCCATCTCCATTTATTTTAACTTCATGCATGCCCCCAACTACAGTGGGGGTTTACTCTATCTGCATAAACACAGTTGCAATACCAAAGTGCAAACACTATGAAACTATTGAAGGATATCAAATTGAACATCTCCCAGATGAGAGTCCTTAGTAAAAGCCTAATCAACCATGAGTTTTGTTTCCAAACTCCTTGTCAGTTTGCCTGATAGGCAGGACACTTGACACTGCTACTGAGTTTGCATAGTAGACCCTAGATAAAAATACTGTTGATTCAGTGTATTCCACTCACCTTAAGTTTCAGGAAGCATTTAAATTTAAAGGGATTTGACATTAGTGGGTCTAGGTGGTAAGTACAGCATTCCAGTCTAATTCCCTTCCTCTAATTTCCCCAAGACATAAGATCTGACAAAAAGCTTACTGATTTAATAGATTACTTTTCAGAGTTCTGCAAGGAGAGTAATTTTTTTAGTTTAATTAACCATCATGAAAACAAAGTGACCACTGACATATTTCTATGGTCAGCTTGCATTTGAGAGCTTCAGAGATTTTTGTCAAGCTCTGGTAACAGTAGGGATGCTATTTAAATCTTATCTCTACAGCTAAAAGTCTTTCACTACCAGAAAAAATCCAGGTAGTTGAACATTATATATTCAGGATTCCTTAGTGCAAGGGGGCACAGAATCTAACAGGGTGCCAGGATACAACTCACCTGCTGCTTTTGTGATGTGAAAGTTGACAGAATCTTGGTCTCTAACACTAGCAGCATCAGAAACAAGCTCCCTAATCCAATTTAGGTTTAGGGATATGAGAGGGAAAAGCAGCATATTTCTGACTTTATTGAAATCCATAGCATGATCTGTAACAGTAAGAATTTGGCTCTGAATACAGTCAGGGTCTGCAAAGCTCTAGCTGCTGTAGTCACAGCATAGGATTTTCTTTGTGGCTTGGATGTGGTTGTGAAACACTGTTGACATAAGAAGGCAGTGGGAAATGATTGCAACAGGAATGAGATGAGTCTGTGGTTGGGGTAGACCTAGAAGTCAGAGAGTTTCTGGGGCAAAAGCCTACAAGCCACCAGAATCAAGACAGGAAAGTGCTTAATCTGAGAAGGATATTGTAGGGTCTGCTGAGCTCCTACTGAAAAGCTTATGGGTTGCAGTTTTCTTGTTTTGCTGGAGAAGAGATGTGCAAGATTTCAGCCTCCTTCCTGGAAGCTTTTTGGAACTGGCAAGTGTTAGGAGTAGCATAACATAGAAAGTGTCAGAATGAATTGGTGCCCATTACGCAAGGTCTGTTTAAATACATTTGGTCATTCTGATGCAGTGAACTTCTCCAGAGGGAAACTTTGCAAGCTCTCCCTGCACTAGCTGTGAAAATACAGTAGCCTTCCATTTCTTTTCTTTCTTAGTCCAACAGCTCAGAGGTGTAAATAAACACTCAGAACTTAGTGCTATAAGTACCTTCCTTTCAGCCTTACTAAGTAACATATGGAACATAACTGAATTCAATTTATTCTGCTCAGGGCCAACAAGCGGAGGATCTCATGATGGCCTTATTCCTTGGACAAGATTCTGCAAGGTATGAACACAGTTTAAAAATTGAGATGGAAGAGGGAGTTTTGTCTTGGTTTGTTGTGGGGTTTGTTTGTTGGGGTTTTGTTGTTGTTGGGGTTTGGGTTTTTTTCAGGGTGCTTTTTTTTTTTTTCCAGAAGCGTACCCTAGTTATTCTAGAGCTTACATGGTTGTGGGAGGTTTTGGTGGTAAGGTTAAAGTAGCAGCAGCAGGAGGAAAACCAGCTTGTGATAGCAAGGAGTAGGTGATTTTGAGATTGCTTTTGAGCCATGTAAACTATATAGGAAAATGCATGTTTCAAACACAGTATCTTCATTATTATTAATGCAGTTGCTTTTAATAGAATAGTTCTCGATTTTTAACTATTACAGAAAGTGTCAAAAAAAACCAGCAAGGTGAACAATTCTTCTCTGTCATAGTGAAGGACATTTCCCAGACCAGGGGCAACTAGATTAGGGTAAGGATTAGCACAGGGCAGCCAAGAGGGTCAGCATGATGGCAGAAAGCTGCATAATGAGATTTCATAACCATGGCTGCAGCAAGACAGGAAGACTCTTCACATTTTCTTTGGCTTTAGACCCTGAACTGGTATAGATAAGCAGGAGATGACAGCAGGCAGTAGCAGACTCCAAGGGGAAGAGCAAAGCTCTGGTGACCTACAAGCACTCAAGTTCATTAGTGTGGTTGTCTCACAAGGAATTGAAATCTGAGTCAGCACAGAAAGTGTCTCTAAGCTATTCTGCTAGCCAGCCTGGCAGAAAGCCCCATGGAATGGTTTGGATGTCCAAGAGCTCCGATAAGGAAAGTGCCCAGGCAAGAACCAGAGCCCTTTCTATGCTCTTAGACCAGTGTCATTGCATGAGAGGCGATGGATCATGTTTGTAGGTACTGTAGGCTCAGGCAGGCATTTCTCTCACACTGCCTCTTGCCTTAAGATTCAGTACCTGCTTCATTCCCAATAGTTTCTGTCCTTCTGGAGTAGAGAAGCAGAAAAGGAAAAAAAAAAATCGTAAGAGAATACAGGGAGGGTGGGAAAGAAGAAAGAGGGGAGAAAAATGCGAGAACAAGTAGATGCTGAAAGGATTGAGAGCTCGCTTTCTCTCTGCTTAACAAAACTGACATTATCCCTGTTCTCCCCCTCCTACCCTCCACCTTTCCATATTCTGAATTTCAGGAAAATATAAACGATAAAAATTTCCCCTTTTGGCTGTGGATTGAGGGAATCCTGGAGCTTATTAAGAAACACCTCCTGTGTCTCTGGAATGATGGGTAAGACATGAGTGAAGTTAACAAAGATGTGGTCATTGCCTCTGACCTCTCATTTAGACTAGCAGTTGCATCCTCAGGTTGTGAGGTTGGTTGTGCAGATAACTTTGGATCCAATAAAGTGGAACTTGCAACCAGAAAAGTCCAAGGCAAATGAATTCTAGTAGTGAGGAAGCCTCTAATGAGGCAACTGCTTAAAGCAAAAACGTCAGATGACCAAGCTGTCCCATTTAAGTCACAGAGCAGGGCTTTGAATGTTAAGGTTTTTTTTTTTGCCTCTGCTCCTGCTGCAGGTAGGTTCTTTCCACACCCCAGAACAGAGCCTCTTTTGTGTTTGAGAGGGAAGACTGAAGTACAACAAAGCATAAGTCATAAAGTCATCATCCGTCTTAAAAAAACAAAAAAACCCCCAAAACCCCCCCACAAACCAAAGGAAAAAAAAACTACAATCAAAAACCAAAGACGTACCCACAAGCCAACATTATCGTGAGCCTCCTGTAGGTGGCAGCAGCCAGACTCTGAACTTCCGTATCTTCAATATGAGTCCAGAAAGTAGTCTTTACTGATTTTAATAGAGTATATTAAGCAGTAAGACTGTGCCAGGTGGAAGACGAGTTCTATTTGCCCTTTAATACTGGTTTAGTAAACTTTCGACTCTCGTATTGCCAATTTTAGAAGTAATTGCTGCCAGAAACAAGTTTAGCCAAGGTCACAATCCTGCATTTTAGGTTTAGCCACATTATGAAACCCTGTCAGTAGCACACTTACAGTGGAGCATCCTAGTATCCCACAAGTCTGCAGTATCTACATCAGGATTGCTCTGTCTTGCTACATTCAGCAGCAGGCTTCAAATTATTACTCCCTAGCTCCAGATGAGTTCTGTCAAAGCCCTTTATAGTACAAGCCTTGTTTCACTGCCTAAAACCTACATATTTCTTAGCTATGTGGACACCAGTGCAGTGGGAACTTTTCCCACCATTATTGAAGCAGAATTGCAGTTCTGTCCTATTTGGTGTTCTGCCTCAGTATGGCTGTGTGCCTACAGGATTGGGTTTGTGGCTTTGATAGTATACAGTCTTGAATAGCATTACTTATTGCTCTGTTATGAGAGCAATCCCCTGTTTAGGGTTTAATAGAAGGAAGAGGTGCAAGTTAAATCCTGAATGTCATCAAAACCAGAAATTCAGTACTATTAGTTTTTCCTCTCTGTTGGCTTTATTGGGTAGTCACAGATCTTTGTTTCTTAGAAAGGCAAAAAGGGAAACTGAAGGGAAAACTCTTGCCAACTGTAAAGGTACTTGAGTGGGAAAGAGACAAATATATAGGATTCATTAGGATAGAGACACCCCTTGTATACAAAAGATTAAGTATTACAGCCTCAAGAACACTTGCCTTTCTTCATACTTGAGGGCTGGGAAGGCAAAAGACTTTCATTATACACAGGATATTTACCACCCAACACATTTGTTACCTAAAGCATGCCATTTCAAACAAACAAACAAACCCCAAAAAACCCCAACAAAACACGACCATAAAACAGGACAGCTTACATCATCTGAAATTCTAAGCAAAATCATGATTATTTAGTAGTTTTTGTGCAAAAAGCACTTTCCTTAGCTTAATGTGCAGGACAGTAGTACTCCTTAAAACTTCATTATTGATGGAGTATTTTGAGGAATAAGAAGCAGTGCAAAGGAATTCTGACCTTTTTAAAAAAGCAGTTGGGGTTTGACCAGGGTTATGCCCTAGTGCTAGCTTGTACAACTCCCTCCCCAGTACCTGTTCAGACCAATCCATTTCTTATAATTACCACGTTGGCCTCCTTGCCTGCCTACACAGTGACATTTGCTAAGCATAGTGAATTTGGGGCGTTGAAGTCCCACAAGCTTAACAGCTCATCTAGAAAATGTGCACAAGAAATAAAACAAACCCCACACCTGTATGAATGCAGTCTGGTAGCTAGCAAACTGTTTCATCAGCCAAAGAGGAGAAATAACTGTTCCTTAATATACTTTTGAAGTTAAAACTGCTAGCTGGGATCTGACCATATTACACACATAGAACTTCTGCTTCCACAGCCCAGCTTTAACAACAAAGGACAATATCTTTTATTCCGAGCTCAGAAGAATGTTTGTATAAGCCACTGGGCCAAAGGAAGAGTGCTGAGGGAAGCTGTAGCGATTCATGGCTTCCACAGGGCAGCTTCAGCCTGTCAGTCCTACTGCTAGCTCTCCAGCTGTTCACAGGACAAAGCATTCTGTAAGGCTTTTACAAGTACTTCAGCTCTTTTAAGTGACAAAACTTTTTTAGTTTTCCTAGCTAGCCCAGCACAGCTTAGATTTTACATCGAAGAAGTAAACTCAACTTTTTCTTTTCAACATTACAGCTGCATCATGGGTTTCATCAGTAAAGAGAAAGAACGTGCTTTATTGAAGGACCAGAGCCCAGGAACATTTTTACTAAGATTCAGTGAAAGCAGCAGAGAGGGAGCAATCACATTTACTTGGGTAGAAGGATCTCAAAACGGTAAGTCAGTAACAGAGAACATCTTTGTCCTCAAAATACAAGCTTACATCAGAGCAAGAAGTCTTTATGCTCTTCTCTTTTACACCAAGAACCAGTACAATACACCACTCTACCAGTCCCCACCCTTACAAGCAACAGGCCACAAGCAATAGCTGGCAGATACCTTACTAGGTGTAGTTCATAAGCCACATGGTGGCTTCTTCAAGGTTTCAGATAGGACTAGAAACACTTCCCAGGTACTGCTTCTAGCCCAGAGGTTTGTTGAGGACAAACTGCCTAGGCTATCTCCCCTGTCCCCTTAGGTTCTCTCTTAGCAAGACACCCTTAGTACATACACACCTGCATCTCCCTCCAAACCCACAGCATCAGAGACTTCTTTCCCAGCAAAAGTTCACTACAGCCACATTCAGCCCTCTCAATATTATCGTTCTCTCCCACTACTTCACCTTGTGTACGAGGCTCCTTTCTCAAACAGCTTTCTGTAACACGTGGTCTGACACATTTGTTCCTTCCTTCCCACATTCTCCCTAGGTAAACCACATATTCACTTACTTCATTCTCCAAGCATTTCTCCTTCTTCCCATTTCTAGAAGAAGGACTGATGAAGAGCTTGTTTCTTCAGTTAGCTAGACTACTCCACCATCCTCTTTCAAGGAAGCCTAAAGACTTAAAAGCTGAGAAGAAGGGGGGGGGGGGGGGGGAAGAGAAGAGGAAAACAAAACCAAACCAAACCAAACAAACCCAAAACACCCACCTCCCCTATACCCAACCAGCGTTCTTCCCTTATCATACAACTTAAATCAACCCCACCTGCCAGGATGGTGCAGCTGTTGACACTTCACTTGAATGAGCCCAGGTCCTACAACAGTTGGAAGAGAAACTGCTGAATGTACTTGAATGATTTCTTTCCTTTTGCTGCCTTCATACCCGAGACATCCAAAAATTAAGCAAAGAAGGGTGATAGTATTTAGAGCATTCAAGGAGGCTTTATTTCTTTATGACTCATAAGAGCTCCAAGTGGTGTATTAGGATCAAACTTTCTAATAGGCAGTAGAGTTTGAATGACATCATTTGGAAGGAGGTTGAAAAGGTAGCACCAAATTAGTTAATGAAATATTGCAGTTAATTTCCACGACAGGTCACCCCAGTCATTCTGAATACAAAATACACCAAGAGCCATCACTATGTGCTATCCCCCTATATGCCTTCCTACCCCACAAAACAATTGGGCTCCCGTTGACAATCATTAAATATTTACCTGCAGCACAGTAGGTGTCATCCAGGTAAGCCTTTTGCTCACGTGACTTCTGAATTTGTGGAAGTGGCTGAAGCTTTTCTGGACAGTTTCAGAATAAACTTTGAAACCACTTTTAAGAGTCCCTGCTTCTCTCATCTGCAGAGCCCCAGTTCCATTCGGTGGAACCGTACACCAAGAAGGAGCTCTCTGCTGTTACTTTCCCTGATATCATTCGCAACTACAAAGTGATGGCAGCTGAAAACATTCCAGAAAATCCACTGAGATTTCTGTACCCAGATATACCCAAAGACAATGCCTTTGGCAAATACTACTCCAGGCCTAAGGAGGGTGAGTGCTATAAATAGCTCATACAGTGTGTGGTGTTTGTTCTTGAGGTACTTGGGTGCTGTATAATTTCTGTGGCATAGAAGGAAAGGGTAGCAGTTGGACTGAATATCTTGGCAGCCTATCCAGTGCTTGAGTGCTGCTCAGCTGAAAGGTGAGAACAGGCACCTAAGCTTTAGCAGGTTAAGAAAAGGTCTGGTTTTAAAGAGGCACATCATGAAATCTAGTTAGGTCAAAAACTGAAAACATAATTGTCGCTTGCCCTCTAATTCAGCTTTCATGGGAGCCCGTGAGGTATTTCAGAGATGTAGGTTCCCGCTAACAGCTGGAACCATGACTCATATTTGACTGTTAACACAGGACTAATGTGTAAAAGCTTGGCTGTGTGGGCCTGGCAGGATGTGTTGATACAGTTACATCAAACTTTAGGGGAGGTTTTGTTCCCCATTTTCTATAGGGGAAAAACAAAAAAGAAAATAAAAGCAAAAAAGAAAATCTGACCATAGTGCTGTAAAATTCATGAGAGAGAGACTTGCATATTATCTGGGTCACAGGCTTTACTTTTGGTACAATAAAGATGGCAATGTGAAGTGAGCTTGCTAAAAAAAAAAACCAAGCTTTTTTTTTTCTTCTTGAAGCACCAGAGCCTATGGATTTGGATGGTCCCAAGGGAAACGGCTACATCAAGACTGAGTTAATCTCTGTATCTGAAGTGTAAGTTTCTACGGAAATGCTGGATTTCTTGGAACTGATCCTAACTTTTTAGCTGTAGTTCATGTCTCTTCACAGTATTTAAGGTGTAGGTACTCCATCAAATCTTTCCTCTCTTTCTCTTTAAGGATGCGATAACACCACATTCATGCAGTACTGTGTTTGAAACATCATTTTTAGGTAAAAACCCTAGAAACTTGCAGGAAGTTGTACTGGTAAATAATTGCTTGAAAAGCAAGTTCTTAAAGACTTGTTGGACTTGTTTGATTAGAATGTAGATCACTGAGTAGTCCCAGTTTTCATTTAAAGCCATGCTGCCTTTGCAAAGCATGGTGTATTGCTCACAGGCTAGGTCTTCTTCACAAGAGACCTCATTAGCAGCCCTTCTGGACTCAAGAGCCAGACATGGTAGCCCAGCTGTGCCTCAATTCTTTAGTGAAGGTTTGTCCCTGCTTTTCTCCTTCTATTAGCCACCCTTCCAGGCTCCAGTCTCCAGAAAATCTACTCCCCATGTCTCCTGAAGAATTTGATGAGGTTTCTCGGATGGTGGGCCCAGCAGAGATTGACACTGTGGTATGTATCATAAAACAGCCTTTTGCAAGAGGATTGAGCTGGAACTTAATTTTTTCCTTTTTTTTTCCCCTTCAAACATACATCCGACACTTAACACAAGCTAACACTTCAGAATGCATCTCTTCAAATGCGTAGGAAAAGCTGGGAATCCAGAGTTAGCCTGGGATTGCTCTCAGCTGTTCTTTCCATTTGTTTGTGGGGATAGGGGTGAAGAAGAGGAGAGCAAAGTTTCCAGTGTGTATGTTGCAGAGGGAGGGAAGACAGGAAGGGAGGAAGGAATAACGCTGTAGTCCTTCCTGTGGGGTCTGGCTGGGGAGGGAAGCTAGAGCAGGTATGCAGCTTGGAAGTGTTCCCCTATCAAGGCTGGCAAGGTGCTGCTGGTTAACAGAGCAGTGTTGTCCTTTGCCGTTGTACTTCAGAAAAAAATTCCAAATTAAAGCATGGCTTCCCTGCCACCCCCTTTGATCCCAAGATGTGAATCTGGTGCTATTTGGGGGAGGACCTGGTTGTGCTCTGTGGTTAGCAAAGACTAGAGTATTACGGCTTTACTTGGCTTGTTTAATTGACATTTATTTTTCTTGTTGCAGATGTGTTCAGCGTATTCAACTTAAAGGCTGAGCTTTTTACTGCATCATTAACACAGCTGATTAGCTTATGCATCCTGCTCTGCAGTCAATGACTTGGTGACATGCTTCACTTCAACTCTTTGGTTTCTCAACCTGAAGGTCCAGTAGCAATTTTTAACTAATGGGAATATAAACAGCAGTCTGAGTAGCCTCCTTATGTACAGTTTTTTTGTTTAGAAATTCTTTGTTGAATTTCCAGTTAATGAGATAACTGTACCAGAGAGGAGGATAGGAATGAGAGATCTCAGTGACAGGAGAAACATGCATTTTTTGTTTAAGGGAGTTAGTTAATTTTAACATTTAAAACAGTTGGCTGTACATAGAAGGCTTCAAAGGAAGGCTAGTTCTTTTGCAGAGGTGCTATTCAGAAAGCTTGCATCTTTGGCGTAACTACTTCTGAAGAACTTCCATAGCTTTGATTTTTCATCTGCATCACAGAAAGGAGAAGAGAAACACTCTGCAGGTACATGCCACACTGAATCCACGTGCTGCTGAAGTTTGTCCTGGTTTTATCTTTTCTAAGGGCATAGCATACTGAGAGAACCTAAGCCAAAAATGTTACCTGCATTTCATTTTTGCTTGTTTCTTAAGGCAAGGTCTTGTGTAGGATGTTTAGCACAATCTTTCTCATAACAAGCACTTCTTAGGACACCACCTTAAAGGTGCATTGGCACATGCTGAGCTTGCAACTCAACCTGTACAATCAAGACTAAAGCCTCCACAAATGGCAGTCATGCTGTCTAGCAACAGTATTGGACAAAACAAGAACCTACTCTTAAAGAGTGCAAAAGGGGCTGGAGTATGTTTTTACTCACTGTGCTTAATCTACCAAGGTGAGGATCTGGTCACTCCTATCTTTTATGGTAATATATGCCCCATTTAGGTTGTAACAGGTGGACTGGAACTTTATTTTCTCATGTACTATGAACCAGGGCTTTTATTTAACTGTTGGCTTGAATAGCTAGAAGACCCTACAGGCTTTGATAATGAAGTGTTTTTGCAACTGGGGATAAGGCACAGGGAAGTGAAGAAGTTAGTTACATTTATACTGAGTAATGGCTGCAGGATATGCAATCTCTAGTACTTAGACGGATAAAGATGTGCTTCCACCAGAGGAGGAACAGGTTTGCTTCTCAGCATGTTTGAAGATAATTAACAACTCACAGTTAAGAGGCAAAGTTACCTTAAGCAGCTGGTCTCTTCGACTAAGGGCATGTATTAGTCCAGACTGGTAATTAGCATGCAGCTGAGCAGAGAGACTGCAGAACACTGCCATGATCCAATAAAAGTGGGGATCATGTTGGGTAGATTTCAGAAGGGGGAGGTTAAGTAGCTGAGGGCTGGTTCATAACGACTTTGTGATAATTTTCAGCCTGTAGCTCTTCTCACCCATCTTACTTTTGCCCAATTCAGTTTGCTGTATTTGTCTCCAAAATACCAAATTCGGTCAGTCTACTCAAGCTTCAAAAAACACATCGAATAGAGCTGGGATAACTAATACTCAATATCTGGTTAGTAATGTCTGAAAACATTCGACAGGTATCTTACAGGATCGTGGTTCAATCTTGATCATTCCTAAGTTTTGAGTAAGAGACATTACTCTCAGCGGTTATTTGTCTGAGTATAATCTTTAATTGATCTACCAAAATAACAACACTTACAGCTACTATTATTGTGCAAAATACTACAGTTAAAACAATGGTAACTATCATATTGGTATCCCATGAATATAACGATGTCATGACTCTAATTAATGCAAAGCATCTTATCCCTCATAGCAGATACGAGATTAAAGGATACAATTAAAAATATGGTCAAGTGCCCTTGGCCGGGAAGGATTCACAGCGCCAGTGAATCACTTCACCAGCCCCCAGCCAGGGTACAGCCTTATAAGACAGCGTTACCGACGCACAGCCGCTCAGTGTACTCAAAATCAACACCCTGTCAGCTACTTGCTCTGTTGCACTCTGTATCCTGACAGCCCTCCAGCAGTCTATGCCGATAGCTAATAGTGACCCCACCAAACAGTGTTCAGGCACAACAAACACTCATGCTGGATCCCACGTGTTAGGTACAGGACCCGGGCAGCCAGCTCTAGGTGACCCTGTTCGAGCAGGGGTGTTGGACAAGATGACCTCCAGAGGTCCCTGCCAACCTCAACCTGGCTGTGAGTGACCCGGTTGCTTCTGCAGGTTCTCAAGCCACTGCTATCTATTCCCAATGCCTGGGAGGGCAGCAGTGGCCAGCGTGCCTCACAGGGATTGCAGAGCTGCTTCTCTACTGTTCAGAAATGCTAGATCGATCAGCTGCTGCTTAGAAAATAAATGACTGGTTCAATTTAGTGTGTTGTGCCTAGGAAGACCGATGTGCCCCGTGCAAAAGCTCAAGAGAAAGAAAATTTAAAGGACCTATCTAGAGCATGTAGCATATGTATTTAAATGGAAAGCATTGCTAAACCGACTTGGTTTTGGTGCCCTGGGTTACTGAGGTTAACAGTGATACAGAATATCACAATTGGTGACTTAATGCTTTTATCTTATTATAACGAGCTGAATGCGGATCTGTACTGTAATGCAAAAAATCCAGTATTTGTTTGAGCTACACCTTGTGCTCATGTTCTATATGCAGCAGTTTGTTTTCATTACTTTTATACTTCAATTTTATTGACCGTGGTGAAACTTTGTGAGATTTAAAGCAATGGCCTTATTCATGGCTTTGTCTTTACAAGGCCAATAGTTCTAAAAGAATGTTTTTTTCCCCAATGGAATATTCTTTTGCCATTTTAAATGAATGGAACTGTCAGTTGACACTTTTGTCCTTTCTCTCATGTTTCGGCTACTTCTATTATAAAGATGATGTATCTGCCAATAGTTTACTGTGCATCTCATTTTAAACTTGTTTGTGCAACTCAACAGTTACAGCTCTGAAGCCTAAGGCAAGAATAGTTGCTTCTAATTCACTGCATTGTTGCAGGCCAGTCTGCATTACAGAGTTCTTAGAAGGTGGCTGTTAGTATAATTTTATTTTTGCTTGTAGCACATCACTGATTTTTTTTTTCTTCCCCAACCAAGCTTCAATAAACTCAACTTGAATTTCTAGTTTGAGTTCATCAGTAGGATAACTGATCTATAGCTGAACTTTGTGAGCTATCAAGCCAGCCCACTGCTGCATCATTTTTCTCTGGGGCTAGTAAGTGACATGATCCTTTGCCTCACACTTGGCAGGCTTTTATATTAACTACACAGCCAGAAGAATAATAAAGGAAAGAAACTGTTCGTGAGATAAGGATAGCAGGAGTGAAGAGTAGGCAAGAGAGAGCTACAGCTGTTGAGGGCACTTGGCCAATCCACTTAAGAACCCTAGCATTAACAAAAAAGCAACCACTTAAAGGACACAACTCTAGAAGTACAGGTTAAAAAAAAAAAACAAACAACAACAACAAAACAAACAAAAAGAAAAAAAAAAGGAAAAAAAGGAAAGCTAGATCAGATAAACTCATTTTGGTTTCCTGTAAGCTTTGCACAATGGAAATGACCAGAGTAGGTTTTCCTGGGCAGCCTTCCCTATGACTGAAGGCTTATTTCAATGGCAGTCACGTAGATAATCAATAAAACCCACCACCATCATCATGATCTTGGTATTTCCATTTATTATGCTGTAAAAAGCAACACTATCTGGATTTTATTTCTTAAAATAAATAACTTTCATTTTCAGAACCAGTACAGCTCAAGTTTAGATTCATTCATGGGAAACTGCTAGAAATACATTCATCACTGTCTATTCCCCACAATACAGAATCTAGAAGTCAAGATCAGCCCAGTCAGTTACAATGACCAGAAGTACACTGCCAAGAAGTATAGTCACTGATAGTCCAGCTCTGAAGCAAAAAAATCTGGTACAATACATTTTGTTCACAAAGATAGGCTAATTAATGCTAAGACTATCACAATATTGCTGAGTACAAAGCATTAAGTTAGCGTAACAATTTTAGGTTGTGATACAGAAGAAACATATATGACAAAAACAAAGGAGTGGGGGAATCCTCTTTGGAGCATAAGGAAGTCGGCATTTGATAAGATAACCAAAAGCTATTTATGGTAAAATCTAGATGTCAGTGTCATGAATGATAAACAGCCAAACCAATGTACTGCATATATTTATAAATAATGCCATGACTAAATAGCTGCATCGCTGAATTGGACATTACAAAATAATGCATCTTCTCACAATGAGAAAATATTAAAACTAACCAGCAAAAATGCACTGAAGCGAAGACTGGCTAAAAGCACTCAGTATGATTCAGGAAAGCGTTAAGTTTAGGGACAGCCATGATCTTTAATGTTAACTCAGTTAAAATCCTTCTTTGTAGGTTGGGAATTTTTTTTATATATGTGTATTATATAACATACCTATCTTTTAAAAATGCCAGTTTGAGCAATGCAAATTTCAGTTAAATCAAGCTAAACCAGGTATTTTTCTGAGAAGCTAAAGGATATGTTTTAATAGGAAAAAAATATGGAAGCAGTCAGATTAGCACTGAGATACAGAACACTAAACTAGAATCCACTGAAAATACTCCTCTATGCTAAAGTTGACAGATCCCTTGCCAGAGAAAACATGTTGGAATTTAGTTCAGGGTACAGCAGAGAAAAGGCCTTGTGCTATTCAGTGACCAATGGGGCTCAATAAAGAGCCAGAGGAAATTTTGTTTAGTTCTTGATTAGAACTAAGGTGGCTGTGACACAGGACGTGAAGAGATCAGGTTAAAAGCCTTCAGAAAAATAGCTGATCTTCAGAAAAAAAAGAAACAGGAGGGAAAAAAAAAAAAAAAAAGAGCTGCTTAAGAACAGTTAAGATTTTTGAGAAAAAGTGTTTGATAACCATGCCAGCCAGCTTCAAAATGCTATTTCAGGGCTTTAGACTTTCAGACTCTTCCAAGATTTCATCATTGTGAGGACAGTCACTGCTCGTGATGAGTATCAAGCACTTTTCCATGAGATTTGTCCTCCCGACAGGGAGGCAGTATGGCATATCGACGGAGAGACTGTACAGGAACTTGACAGGATTTATTCTCAACTATACTGACCTGCTGGGTCACTCTGAAAAGTTACTTCTCTCTATGCCTTAGTGTACACATTTGCAAAGGAGGGTAACGTGGTTCATCTTTATAAAGTGCTTGGGCCATTCTAGAAGGAATTTGGGCATTATTTCAGAAGGATTTTGGTGCCTACACACAGAAAATTTGAACTTTGAGATCTACTAGTGATGTGTACACTATGTGCTAGGATAAAAATAGCCATATACGCAATTCTCAAGCACAATCTCCTTTTCCATATGCTAAACGATTCTTGCCTATAATTCTTGTGCTAAAATTCTTGCCTATGTCCAACAACCGTGGTGTTTTGTGAATATCGAACTCTTAACTTTAAGCAACTGCTCACTTCTGAGGTTTTATGCCACAGCATTGGCAGAAGCAATTGCACACAGAATAGGGAACTGTTGTAACATTGTACTTCTGCAAACAACCAATATCTGCATTTCCCACAACGGGGCACGTGCCAAGACAATAAATGCCACCGTTCACCACGAAAGGCATCTCCTACTTGTGCTCCTGATGCTGAACTCCTGTTCTACACCAGCGGAATCCCACTGATGCAATATCCCGCTCCCTGGTTGATGGTAGTGCAAGAAGAGAACATACCCCAATATTTGGCTTATCTCCCGCTCTGCTCATGCTTTGATTGGCTCTATGCTCCTTAAAGCTGTTTTACTCCATCCGTGTTCCTTATTACAAGCCTAAATTAAGTCAGATTTACAAGTAATATTTGGTTTAGTACTTTGCCTTTCACATACTTCCATTCCCCTCGCTGTTCCTGGTGCAACCGCCAAGAACACCACACGTGAGCCCAAAAGGCGGGGTTTGCAGCTTGTCAAGGCTTGCTGTAGTGCAAATGTACCTGCAAGGAACACAACTGCATAGAGTGGAAGCACCCGCTTTCCCCAGGCACAGGGGAAGTACTGTAGCAGCTGAACATGGAGAGAGAGGAGGGAGGCGAGACAAAGGGAACTGAAAGAAACACTTCAAAAACAAAAGACCCACTAAACACGGTTTGATGTTACAAGTCACATTCCCCTATGCCATTTGGTCAAACAAACTTTAAAACAGATTCCCTGACAAGACTATCTCTAAGAACAAGCCTAGACCATTCACAACTGTCAGCTATATACTCTGTTGATATTTATATTATGTAAACATGGTTGTGTGAATTTTTTTTTTTCCAAAGTTAAGTGCAGATCCTTACTTAACACACCCAGCCTAAATCTACATCAGCATCCTCAGCTTTTGAAAAACCTCACTGACGCTCATACCTGACAGTACCCTGGCTCATCTTGGCCATACTGGAAACAGAGGGCTATAGAAACAAAAATTCAGCAGAAAAATTCCTGACCACAGACTAGAGTTCACATAGAACACAAAAATAAATTAAGTAGTGCACAGTAAAGCCAACAACAGCTAAATATTTTTATACATCAATTATATGCAGCATGAGGTAATATTGCTCACATTATGGAGGGAGATTCTTAGTTGGTTTTGTTTCTTTTGAGAGAGATTGGATTTGTCCTGTGCGTATAGAAACTCCTGTAACATAACACTGAAGTAACAGAGACTTCTGTAAAATGTATATACCACTATCGGATAGAAACACACACGCTCTTCATTACTTATGTATACCACAATTAAATAGGTAAGTGATTTGATTCTTAGGATCTAGCTGAAGATGATTATAGTAAGCCATCTAGATTTTTATGAAC